TTTAATTTGACCCGTTATGCCCGAGTCACGAATCTTTCATATGACACGGGAGTCACGACTCGGGAGTCACGACTCATCAATATGTATATTTTTCTAAAGTTTTACTTTAATTTTAGAGTGCTTCGTTCATAGTGATTAGTTCACAGAGAATGATTCGTTCATAGTGATTAGTTCACAGAGAATGATTCGTTCACAGCAAAAGATTAGTTCACAGTGAAATATTAGTTCATAGAGAATGATTCGTTTGCAATGATAGATTAGTTCACAGTGAAAGATTAGAATGCAGAGTAATTAGATTGTAGTGAAAGATTAGTTCGCAGTGAAAGATTAGTTAGCAGAGAGTGATTTGTTCGCAGTGAGTGATTTGTGAGTTCAAAATGAATAAATATTTAATATGACTCGGCAGTCACGAGTCACGAATCTTTCATATGACTCGGGAGTCACGACTCATAAGAAAGATTCGTTCATTTTGAATGAATCACAAGCGAACGACACATCAATGTGAAGATGAATGAGAGCAAAAAAGACCCGAGCTCTTTCACGTGACAAATGACACGAATCTGCGAGAACAAGGCGAAAGATTAGTTCATAGAGAGTGATTCGTTCATAGTGATTAGTTCACAGTGAAAGATTAGATCACGGCGAAAGATTAGTTCACAGAGAATGATTCGTTCACAGCAAAAGATTAGTTCACAGTGAAAGATTAGTTCATAGAGAATGATTCGTTCACCGAGAAAGATTAGTTCAAAGAGAATGATTCGTTCACAGCAAAAGATTAGTTCACAGAGAATGATTCGTTCACAGTGAAAGATTAGTTCATAGAGAGTGAATCGTTTGCAATGAAAGATTAGTTCACAGTGAAAGATTAGTTTGCAGAGAGTTATTACTTCGCAGTGTGATTTGTGAGTTCAATGTGAATAAATATTTAATATGACTCGGTAGTCACGAGTCACGAATCTTTCATATGACTCGGGAGTCACGACTCATAAGAAAGATTCGTTCATTTTGAACGAGTCACTCGCGAACGACACATCACTAGTTCACGGCGAAAGATTAGATCACGGCGAAAGATTAGATCACGGCAAAAGATTAGTTCACAGAGAATGATTCGTTCACGGCAAAAGATTAGTTCACAGCGAAAGATTCGTTCACAGCGAAAGATTCGTTCACAGCAAAAGATTAGTTCACAGCGAAAGATTAGTTCACAGAGAATGATTCGTTCACAGCGAAAGATTAGTTCACGGGGAAAGATTAGATCATAGAGAGTGATTCGTTTGCAATGAAAGATTAGTTCACAGTGAAAGATTAGTTTGCAGAGAGTGATTTGTTCTCAGTGAGTGATTCGTGAGTTCAATATGAATACATTTTTAATATGACTCGGTAGTCACGAGTCACGAATCTTTCATATCACTCGGGAGTCACGACTCATATGAAAGATCCGTTCATTTTGAACGAATCACTCGCGAACGACACATCACTATTCAGTTTATTTTCGAGTCATTTGTTGTGAACCGGACTCCATTATTGTTGCCTACGTCACGACGAAAAATCTCAAATCTCTACTCAAAGTTTGAATAAACGAATAAAATGTTCAGTTCACTTCGGTCCAGTTGAACATTCGAGAAGAAAATACAGTTGACGTTTGTTACTGAAAATGTGGAAGACATTAGGAATTTCAACGGAAGCGGGAAAAAATAAATAAATGACAAGCATTGACACAGGACACGGAAGTGGAATGTTTTAAATAATTTATTATGAATTTTAAAAAGTTTTCTCCCCAACAGGAAAAAAAAAAGACAATCGGAAAAAAAGTTAGTGTTTACAATATTGTTGTTTTCACGTGAAAACAGCATCAGAGTTAACTTCCGTGGTAACGTGGATACCAAACGTATCGAAATGTCAAACCTCCATCTTGTGGATCGGGAGTGCTTCGTTCTTAAAGGAAACATTTATTTATTTTTAAAAACAAAAAAACATATTTCTCGTGTTTAGAATGGACTGTGCAACATCGTCGTCCGGACGTGGTCGTTTTGGTCTAAACATATTCATCACACTGCTACAAAAAGTGAACCTTGAGTGACAGGTGAGTGATGGACATGAAGAAGACCCCGCCCCACCAGCCCCCCCCCACACACACACACACACACACACTCTGTCTCAGTGAGTGCTTTACAGTAATCGTCCAAACTTTGACACAGATGTTCATGTAGTACCATCAGCAAAATTAAAAAAAAAAAAAAAAAGTCAGATTCAAACTTCACATTTTCAATCAGGCGCCAGTTTGGGCTGTCACTTTTTACAGATTTAGGTTCGAACTCTAGAGAGAGATCTAGAACATTCCTCTTGTTAATAATCAGTTCCTTCAGTGAACAGGACTCTTCTCTGTCATGTTGATTTAATCAGATTAACTAGTTAAAAAAACATACAGCAAGATCCAAAGGGTAACCTGCTTGGAGCGCCCCCGCCCGCTGCAGGACGACATGGTAACTACATCTTGAGGGGGGCCATTGAGATGTGAACATTAACTAAACCTCCAGTAAGAAGTAACAGCCCAGGCCCCAAACGACCTTCATGGTGACAGTACGTAAAACACGCGCGTGCACACTGACCCTTCCTTCATTTTTCTTTTCACAATAAAAGCACAAACATTAAAATCACAGTTACGACAACAAGATGAAGTAAAACGGTCAGAACAGCAGTAGAATAATAAAAAAAACAACAACAGCGTCTCCTCCGCGTTAACATCCAACAAAGTCAAGTGTTCCAGACGTGACCTTTGACCTGGCTGGACGTACCAGGCCTTCAGCTCTGACAGCAGTTAAACACTTCCAGGAAGAAGCTAAATCAGTGTGTTTTTACGCAGAATCCGAGCTACGCTATTAGCATCGAGCGACATTTTAGTGGTAACGTCACATAGTGTCGTTATCGCGCCTTTCTTTTGAAGACCACTAGGTGGACTAAAGTTAACATTTTGAACCCATAAAAGGGTTTTGTTTTTTTTTAGTTTGTCTTCAGTGGCAAATTAAAAAAAAATAGTTTGATCCGACATGGCAGTAAGGTCAGCTAGGGGTCAGCAGTGCATCACATCCAGTGACGGTGTCGGTGATGAAGAGCAGACAACGCTAGTGCAACTGAAAAGACTGACAATGACGATCATCATCATCACAGACTTCAGGATCGGGCAAAGCCTAAAGACAAATGAAGACATCCATCTCTGACCTCTGATCTTCATCCAACAGTCCACAGACCCTGCTCCTCCTCCCCCCTCTCCTCTCTCCCTCCCACTTCATACCATCCTTGTTCTGATATTCTTTCACTTCCTGCTGTCTTCTGACTCTACTTCCTGTGTCCCAGCCTGTCGTCACAGTTGGCTCAATCCTCGGTTCATGCTACCCGACTGTGTCCAGCTCGGGGAAAAAAATCTAACCTGTCAGATGGATGGCGAGAGCTTGACACCACGACACGTCACCAACCAGAATGGACTGATGCAGACTGGGAATTATGGGTAGGGTAGGATCCGTAGTAAGTAAGACTGTTGCCCTCTGCTGGTGTCCACTCCTATCTACGTTACGTCCTACAGAAGTTTTTCAACATTTTAAGACAACAGGACACAGTCGAGTATTCCTGCGACAGTCGGAGTGACAGTAACAGTCAAGTTCTCCCAGACACAACGTCATATTTACATTATCTCACAAACCCGTTCAGCTCCTCGTGACTAAACGAGTCGACCGAACGTTATTAGTAAAACGAGTCCTTGTTAAAAACGTACACGTTCTCCAGAAACGGAATTCATCACATTTTTTTTTTTTGTGTTAAAATTCAAAGTGAACTATTATTATGAGACAGCTAAACAAATATACAGCTCGTCACATGCAGGTGGCGACCCTCTCTTCTCGGAGAGACAGTGAAAAATTCCCAAAAAAAAAAAATCCAACAGAACACGGAGCAAAAACACATAAAGACATGCAATCATTAAAAAAAACACAAAAGAAAAAGAAAAATGTACAGTGAATCGTCAGCATCGACGGTTTGTCGAAAAAGTTTTCAGTCCTGGTAAAAAAAACTTACTCTGATGTCATCTGGAGGAGGCGGAGTTTAGTTTGGTTAGTCATCAGGAGAATCAGGCTGACACCTGAGGGCGGGGGGAGGGGAGGGAAAAGGGGGGGACAACAGCCTACGTCCAGACACTGACTCTCAGTGATATCCATTAGTGAAGGCCGTAGCGATCAATGGGCCCTGTAGGGGGCAGCACACAGTTTAGTTATCTGACTGTTTCATTGTAGAGTAAACACAGAAAAGTTTTTTTCTCTCACCCCCAAACTGTGGCTGAATCCAGTGCTGGGGACGGGGCTTGCAGCACTCAGGTAGCTGCTGACAGCCGACTCCTGACTGGCTGTTCCATACAGATCTGCCATTGGACCTGGGCTGGTGGTTCCCAGAAATCCAGCTGAGCGGGACGGAGTAGAACCTGGACGTTTCAGTGTTCAGATTATATTCATGTTCACTTTAGAGAAGCAGAAAAAAAAATCTGTGTTTTCATTTTTGTACCTCTGACAACTGCTGCTGCCGCTGCTGCCATTGGTCCGTACGCTGTGAGAGGAATGGCTGCAGGAGGAAAAATAGAAAAAAATGGTACGGACACCAGAGCTAATGTTAGCTACAACAGTGCTGGTATTGACACCAGAGCTAACGTTAGCTACAATAGTCCTGGTACAGACACCAGAGCTAACGTTAGCTACAACAGTGCTGGTACTGACACCAGAGCTAACGTTAGCTACAACAGCTATGACACTGTCAACCAAATTTTTTCAAAAATGTGTTTATCGTGCCTCTGATTAATTACAAATAACAAAATAACAAACAATGCAAAACTGAAGACACACAAACATGTAGCGCGTGCATGTGTGCGTGCTGACACGTTGGTGCTAACAGAGTGATCACATGCTGCTTGTAAAGTCCAGAGGAGGAAGCGACTGACCTGTGAGCTCAGGGGGGTGGGGTGAAGTCAGGAGGGGGGTCCTCTCTAAGTGGAACTCTAAAACAGAAACATCAGAATGCTGTTGAGACACGCCGCCGCCACCTTGTGGCAACACAGTACACATGCACGTCGACAGACACAAACTCACACACAGGTTCAAGGACAGCAACAAGCAGGCCAGGGCATGTTGGCCCACATGGGTCACTGAGATAGAGTACATACAACCCACGTGGGTCACACACCAGACGTGGTGGGCGAGGTGGCACTGTCGTGACGTCATATATCTATACAACAACCTACATGTCCGACGTCACTTCATCATCTTCGTCATCTACTGTAGGTCTGGAACTGTTGACGACACGTGCACAGTACTACTGTACCGACTGTTTTAAGTCTCTCCCTGATGTTTACAAGCAGCCGTTACGGTGACAGTAAGACAATGTGACGTGGTAATTACCGGGGAACTGGTAGGTGTATCCAGGGGTGATACCGGCGTAGCTTCGACTGGTGTAGGTCGCCGTCTGGAAGCTGGGATAACCTGAGGGAACAACGTCACCACAGAACACACATATATGTTATATGTTTATATATATATTTATATATAAAAAACAAATAGCTGTACATATATTCAGATTAATGTTTTCTTCGACGGTTATCGCGTCAGTGTTTTGTTTTGTTTTTTTGTGGTTCATGTCGCAGCGTTCATCTAATTCTAATCTGTTGTGAGGTGTAATTCGTCTTACTGAACAGTAGGAGGCAGCCGTGTTTCAGATGTTAAGCGGTGGCCGCTGTGAAGTAGACTTTGAAAAAGGAATACTTCAGTCACTGGGACTGTTCCCTCACACTGTTGCTGTTCGGCTAACTCCGGTTAGCACGAGTTCAACGGTTCGGTATCGTTGCTTTTCCTGCGCCGTTTATATAAAGAATTTCTCAATAAATAAATAACAGAGAAAAATAAGTTTAATTTAAGAAAAAATTATTTTTTTTGTCGTTTTATGTGTAAATTGAGTCGTTTTTTAATGTTTGTTTCCAGACTGAACCGCAGCTAACTTGAGCTAACGGCAGGTGCCGACTTTCACTCCCGTTATTTTCCGCCATTTTCTTTTTCCGGTTCTTTGTCAGGAGCAGGAAGTGATTCTTTAGCATCAAACAAACTTTTGTTTGGTTTTTTTTTCTAATGAATTTAAGAGAATAATGCACATTATCATGACCTGTAAAATCAGACTGAAACTGTCACTCCTCTCTCTCTCTGTCTCCCCCCTCCCCCCCTCCCTCCCTGCTAATGAGGAACCTCGTGACCTTTAGGGTCGCAGCACCTCTTCGTTCCAGTCAGGCGTCGAGTTTTTTTTTCTTCTGCCACATCCTTCCTGTCTCGATCGATACCAACTTACCCAGCATACCGATGCCCAGCATGAAGGCATCCATCCCATAGGGCATCACGCGAGAGCGCCCCCTGGCTGAGCCTGTTGGGGACATCACCTCCTTGGGCTGAGCCTTTTTGCACTCCACCTGTTTGACGACAGACGGATCAAATAAATCCAAAAAAAAAAAAAGTTTCTCCGACGACCACAGACAGGAGGCGCTGCTCACCATCTTGCTGTTGATTTCGTGAAAGTGAATCTCACAGACCTTCTCCACCACGTCTTCGTTCTCGAACGTTACGAAGCCGAAGCCTAAAGGGAAGAATTTGAAAAATAAAAATAAATAAAAAACTTTTTTGCGGCGGTGGGACGGTGGATTCACGGCTCCGGGTTTTCCGTGCAGCACACGGCTAATAATCTACAGTAATCAGCACTGTAATTGATGCTTTGCC